GAGAGAGAGAGAGAGAGAGAGAGAGAGAGAGAGAGAGAGAGAGAGAGAGAGAGAGAGAGAGAGCTCTTTCTGTTCTTGATGTGTGCAAGAGAGAGAAATAACCAGTCTTCGTCAGCGTTCCTCCTCCCTCGTCTTCCTCTTCCTCCGGTGTGTGCGATCCGCTTACCTGCTTCTATCTGGCTGTCATTCCCTGTTTCCACAAGCCCGGGAGACTTTTCGTTCTCCTCTGTCCTCCCCATCCCGCGATTGACATATCTTCATCCACCATCGCTGTCTCCCTTCCTTACTTCCTCCTTCGCCATCTCCTCGAAGCTCACTCTCTCTCCTCCTCCTCTCCTCTCCTCTCCTCTCCCTCTTTCCCTGCCTCGTCTCCTTCTATGCTTCATTGATCCGAGAACCGCGCGCACTGATTTTATCGCATTCCTTAAGGAGGAACAAACGGATTGATGTGGCTCCCTCGTCTGATCTCCTCTCCCCTCCTCTCTCTCTCTCTCTCCCCACTTCCCCGCCACGTGGCAATACGACAAATGTTCTCCCACAGACCTAGCCTTCGATTGATAATACGTGCCAAGCGACCAAAGAGGGCAGTAGAAGAAAAAAAAAAGGGGGGGGGGGAAGCAGAAAAAGGCTAGGCCACCAGCCGGGCCGCCCGGGTCACCTTGTTTTCCCGGGCGGCCCGGCTGTGCAACGACCAGGGAAGGTCCCAGCAAAAGAAAAAAAAAGAAAAAAAAAAGAAAACCGAAAACAAACTATGTTATGCAGAAAAATAAAGTGAACAACTTTTGCCTCAGGGTCACATCGAAATTCTTTACCAAATTTCAAAAAAAAAAAAAAAAAAAGGCCCGGCCGGGCAAGTGGTCCCGGGCCACTCTGGTAGACTAGAAAAAAAAAAAAGAAAAAAGAAAAAAAAAAAACTTCCGTTGATAATACGTGCCAAGCAACCGAAGGAGGCAGTAGAACCCAAAAACAAGGAGAAACAAACAAAAGGGAAAAAAAGGGAAAAAAAGAAAAAAAGGAAAAGAAGAAAGAAAAAGAGAAAAAAAAAAGAAAAAAGAAGGAAAAAAAAGGAAAAAAAGAAGACAATATAACCAGTGTCCGCCAGATCCAGTGTGATCTGAGGGTCCTCATTCTCTTTGCGATCTAATTGCGTTTGTACCCTCCCTCCACGAACTAATTACGCCGTTTGTACCCTCATCTTCACGATCTAATTACGCTTGTACCCTCCTCCTCCTCATCGCGATCTAATTACGTCTGTACCCTCCTCCTCTTTGCGATCTAATTAATATGTTTGTGTTCTCCTTCTTTCCGCCATGTAATTAATTATGTTGCCTTGTCTAGTTTTTTAATGATCTGGGGGGGTCCCATGATGAATAGCTGACGTGTTCTTTTTTTTCTTTTCTTTTTCTGTCCTTTTGTTCGTGGATTCCAATAATCGCCTTGTGATGTACGTTTGCAGAGTGAAGGGATAGAGAGCTGACGTGTCCTCCTGTCGCTCGTGCCTCTCCTTCTCCCCCCCCTTCTCTCTCTCCTCCCCTCCCTTCTCTTCCTCGTATCTACCCCTCTCACTTCTCCTCTTCCTCGTCGTCACTCTATTCCTGTCAATCGTTCTCTCTATTTCCTTCTTTTGCAGGGCACTCTAATACCATTTCTTTCCCGCCTTTTTTTGCCTTGTTTCCCGCCTTTCCCCCCCCCTCTTCCCTAGATCTACAACTCTATATCCTGTCTCTCCTCTTCACCCTCCTCCTTCTCCTCCTCCTCTCCTTCTTCTTCTTCCATCCCGGTTTCTGATCTGTGTCCTGACAGTCTTCCTTCCCTCCCTCCCTCTCTCCTTCCCTCCCCCCTCTCCCTCCCCCCCCCCCCCCCCCCCCCCCCCCCCCCCCCCCCCCCCCCCCCCCCCTCTCTCCTAGCCGTCCTTGTTGGTATGGATAAACATGACACAAGAAAGCGTGACCGCTCAGCCCCAGCTCATCCATCACCCTGTCGTACCATTCCCTGAATGCTCGTCTACCTCCCTCTTCAATTCCCCTCCTCCTCCTCCTCCTCCTCCTCCTCCTCCCACAGCGTGTCTGTGATCAAACAGGGCACATTTTTACCGCTGCCTCCCGCGGCTGCCTCTTCGGCCTCCACGTGGACCGTACACCATGGACCACAGTGAGTGAAGTGGAAATGGCGAAACAGCGATCGAAGTGGAAACAGCGATCGAAGTGGAAACAGCGATCGAAGTGGAATCAGCGATCGAAGTGGAAACAGCGATCGAAGTGGAAACAGTGAGCGAGGATGATCTGCTTGATTTCCTTCTTGTTCAGTTGGAGGACAGGAAGGAAGGAGGTGCCGTAAATGCTGTGGTTGGGGGAGGAGCTCCCTCAGGAGCGCCAGGTGCGCACCTGGCGGAAATGTGCATATAGGCGAAGAACCTGCCCGTTTTCTGAGACATGTACAGGTGTTTGTTTCTCCTATCATAGTCTTTGTGTGGAACAAGTATGGAAGGCAGCTCTCTGGCCACACTGCTTATCACTCTTCTTCTTCTTCTTCTTCTTCTTCTTCTTCTTCTATCTTCTTCTTCTTTGCTCAGGGAGGA